AGTGAAATCTTATGATTGATAGGGTCTTGCTTCCTTCAAACACAACTAGTGTCCAACGAAATCAGTGTTTTCGATGTTGTGAGGCAAACCGAGAGGGAAGAGGAGACTTCTTTGGGGAGATAGATCGGACAGATGAGAGGGAATGGGATACTTTGAGAGATGATGAAGGTTTTGGAATGAGGGAGTTTGAGATGTAAGAATGGTCGAAGAGCAAGAACAAAATAAACGTGAATAAGAGCCCACACAGGGAATCAGGATGTGATGTGACATGAGAAACAAAAAATTAAAGGAAAAAATAATTTAAATACTTTTTTGTAGGTGTGATATCAGCACCCTAAACTAGTCTAAGTTATTTAAATATCCCCTTCTTTAGCTAACATGTGAAATTGGTACCCTAGTCTTTGATAAGTTGATGTAAATGGTCGCTCCTTTAATTTAATTCATCCACTCCTTCATCCCCACTTGCAGGGAAGATGTCCCTCAATCTCATATTTGATTCTATCTTCATAGGGACTCTCCAGCGGCGTGTCCTTGTTTTATATTGAAAATAAATGCGACTGTAGAAGAAGATCTAGCGAGATTCATGGGTTTTTTTCATCCGAATCTTCCTCCCAATGAAAGACCCAAAATCAATTTGATTTCCCCTTCTCTAACTCACCATGAGTTACTCTAGCTTCTATCCATGAGTCTCTGCCACATATCCCTTGTTGAACAAGGTAAATCTGAAGAAACATTCTGCATTTGGAACTCCAGGCTTTCTCATTCTCTTTTCATTGTATCCCATTAAATTCAACCTTAAATGGATGGTTCACATAGCCTACACATTGCACCAATTTAAGCACACCCAGATGCAAAAATGTCTTCTTTATCTGCATTTTACCTTCAATTTAGCTCCAAGAATGAATTTTTATGTTACACCCTGCTTCAAATCACTACGGCGGTAATTCTAAAACAACATAAGCAAGTGAAGGGAAATTCCACCGGAAATGAGACGGCGGCGGTGAGATTCCGACAAAAGGATTGGTGAACGAAGGAGAAAAGAAACACCGTGTGAATGCTTCACAGATACAAATATAAGCCACATGGATATGAATAAACCCAAATTAAATACATTTAATTAGTGAAGGGTATTGGTCTCTCATATTAACTAAAGACTGGGGTATTTAACTAACACATACAAGTTTGGGGTGGGCATATCACACTTACCTAAAGTTCAGGGTATTTAATTTATTTTCTCCAAAAATAAAAGGTCAAATAAACCTTCGAATTATTACAATTTCTCAAAAATCAAAATAGAAGTAAATGTAGTTTAGAATTTCAAAATATGATCACTATGTTTTTATTTCCGAAATGGGACTAACATGATAGTATTTATTGTCATTTTGTAGGCGTGACTGTCAAATAATTGCAGTACAGTGCATTTAACATGACAGTATTTATTATAATTAATGACACTTTTTTTCAATCATGACAGTATTTCCCATACATGACAGTAATAACTCTTATTTCAGGAAGAACAGCGCGATAATCCTATTGGAATTTCAAACCTCATTTACTCCTATTCAGGACAATTTTCCTTATTGCAATATTACCCATTCTGAAATCTGACCTCTAAACTCGAAAATAAAATGAATACTCCGTATGTCTTTCAAAACATTAAAATAAAATAATTGAATCCTTTTTATTTTAGAAATAATGGACAAGAATAATCTCAACTATAAGTAATCTGCTTGAAATAATCCAAAGTATTAATTATCTCAAAATAATTTCAACTATTAAAAAATATTCTCAAAATACTCCGGTGACTTATAATTAACCGTAAATAACTTATACTGAGTAATATTTATGAGTATGTGGAGTATTTTGAGAAAAAAATTCAATAGTTGGGACTATTTTGATATAATTGATATTTGATACTTTGAATTATTTCAAGCAAATCACTCAAATTGAGATTATTCTTGTGAATTTCCTTTATTTTATCATGCGGATAAGATAATAATTTTCTCATAAGATAATATCAACACCACTTTATAAACGAGGAAAAAAAATCAATTATTTTAACCATTACAACTTATATTTTTATACACTAGCATCTTTATTGTATATTTTCTTAAGAGAATTAATACTTTTATTTGGTTTCTTATAAGAAAAATTATTTATTATTGAAGAAATATAAATCCACGTGGTTTTTTAGTTTTATTTATTCTTTTATAGATTTTTTAAAAAAAAGTGTTATTATTAAAACTAATTTAACATTATAGAACAAAAAAAATTATATTGTGCATATAAGTAAATAGTATAAACATGAAAAGAAATTGTTTGAGTTACTTTTAAAATAGGCATTAGAATTATATTGATTCAATATTAGTTAGTAATGGACTCGGGTTGGGCCACCCGGCCCGGAACCGGTACTGTTAGGGCCCGGCCCGCCCCGGAACCTGGTCATAGGACCGGTCTGGGCCATCCGGCCCGGAACCGGTACTGTTTGGGCCCGGCCCGGAACCCGGTCATAGGACCGGTCCGGGCCACCCGAACTGGGATTAAAAGGGGGCGGGCTCGGGCCTCCTAAAAGTGGAACCGGCCCGGCCGGGCCGGGCCGGGCTTATTTCTTTTTTTTTTTTTCAATTCTTTTGGTTTCTTCCGGGTTGGGCTAGGTGTTTTGGGGGGTTTGGGGGTGGGGGTTGGGGGTTAATTAGAAAAGCAAAAGAAAAAAAATTACATGAACCGGGCCGGCCCGGAACCGCTGCCTACCCGGGCCGGTTCCGGTTCTCCCTTCCCAAAAAAAAGCCCGGCTGGGCCCAGGCCCGAATCGGCCCGGGTCCATCACTAATATTAGTACATATTTTAGAATATTGTTAATCACTGGTGCATCGCACGGGTTTGAAAAGTGGTCACAAGAGAGTTAATATTACATACGAAATTATACTCTCCATTAATAATTATTTCAAGATATTTTTTTTCTTAAGACAAACTTGAATATACCATATTTTCATTGAAGCGGCTAGCCATGAATTGGATACTACATATTTTAGAGAATGCATTATACTCCATCCCCATTCAAATGTTAGAAACATTAGCCTTTTGGACAAAGTTTAAAATTTTCTCATAGTTCTGTATTTTTAAATGAAAAAAATCTCAAAAATTGAAAGTGTCGTGTACATTTAAATACAGATCAAAGAAGAAAGTGCATTGTACTTTGTCTCATTGGACATACGGGTTATTTGACTGGAAACTAAACAAGAAAAAGAATTTCAGATCAGAACTAGTACAAATTCGATCTGCCTTTAGTTCCTCCAAAACAAGACCGCATTAATAGATTCTTACATTGATTTAATGAGAGTAGTGTATGAAAGGGTAATTATAAATATAGTCCACTTTTTACTAAATGCCGCCTCTAATTAAATTAAATGTCTATTATATATCTATATCCCTATTATTGCCCCAATGCTCTCTTTCTTTGTGATGCCGGATCTTCAAGAACGACGTCCGGGAATAGCTTCACAAAAAGGTTGTTGCTTAAGCAAGAAAGTTGCCGCTGTGATTGGACGGAAACTGCAGCAACGATCAGACACCATCAACACCATACTCTTACTCTGGCACAAACAAAAAAAAACCAAAAAAAAAACTCTCAGGTGCTTCAGCGTCGGTTCCTGCTATACAGAACTGTGCACAGCCGAGAAACTCTTCTACAAATCAGCCCCAACTCGCAACTCACCACTAAAGATCTTTTGCAGACATCATCAAGCAACCAATCCCCTCCTTTTCGATCAAACAACCCAGCAACTTCAACAGAATGCCGACAGTTTCCTTCTTCAAGAATGACGTCCGGGAACGACCTCAAAACTTCAGTTAAAACTGCGTTACGGGAAGCTTGTTCCGACCTTCCGTGAATGTCCCCGTCGGCTCCAATCATATCGGGCGAGTCCGAGAGCCAGATTTGTAGGAAACTTATCGAAGGGAGAGTTGTCGTCCACCGGTCACCATAGGCTCATAGCACATTTAGCCGCCCCGTGGCGGCCAGCCTTAGCCATCCCTCATTTTCTGATGACATGGGCCTCCGTTTTTCCTCCATAACCTTGTGCAAGTAACCATTCGCCTCAGAGCATGTCACCTGCGGATTTTCCAAAGCAACCAAACATTCAGCTGTCCAGGCGGATTACCACCAAAATCCGGTAGTAGGGGTGGACTCGGGCCGGGCCAACCGGCCCGGAACCGGACCAGCCCGCTACTGTGCGGGCCCGGACCGGCCCGGTCAACCGGTTCATGCACCGGTTCGGTCCACCCGGCCCGGTGGGATGGCGGTCCGGGCTCGGGCCCTGATTTTGGTGAACCGGCCCGGCCGGTTCGGGCCCGGTTCGGGCCGGATTTTATTTTTTTTTTTTTTTGAATTTTTTTTAAGTTTTGGGTTGGATTAGGTATTTTGGGCCATTTGAGGTGGTTTTGGGTGGTTTGGGGTTGAGGGGGAGGGGTAGGGGGTTAAAAAGGAGAACCAAAAAAAAAAAAAATTAGACCGGTTGGCCCGGCCCGGCCCGGCCCGGCACGGTTTGGCCCGGAACCGGAACCGGAACCGCCCACCGGCGGTTCGGGCCCGGGCCCTAGTTTTCTGGCCCGAGGCCCGGCCGGGCCCAGGCCCGAACCAGCCCGAGTCCACCCCTATCCGGTAGCTGTCCAGTAGAAAGGAGAGGATTGGGGCACGATAAGGATATAATAGACATTTAATTTAATTAGGGGATTTATTTAGTAAAAAGTGGGCTGTATTTAGAATTATCCCGTATGAAATCAGTTTGGATCCAATATGACAACTGGTACAGTAGCAATCTGAGAATCGTACCAGATATACCCAATTATGATTCCGATTCCACCTTTTATATAAAACTATTACATTTCTGGTCCCTAAAAGATAAGAGCCTTAACCAGATCCTTTGTACATAGATCCAGTTCTTTTTTCGATTCTCAGCACTGGCTGTTCACATTTCGATTCAGACCATATCAGACTCAACTTTGCAATACTCAAAGTAATCTTTAAAAATTTCATGCATTATGATCCTTCATGCAATTTTACAGACTTTCTACTTAGTTATCTTGCAAGTCAAACCACAACAAACAATGCATTTAGCATAACCCAATCCTTAATAAAATGTGTTTGATTGTGAATCATTTTAATTCGAAAACCAAAAATACCCAAAAAGCCATCCTGTGGAAATTGAAACAAGCACTGGAGCCAAAAAGGGTGTGTGGGCAGAAAGAGCAGACAACGCATGACCTCCTCAGGTCAAGCAATATGCTCAGCAAGGCTAAGAATCTTCAGGTGCTTCTTCCTCCTAAGCTCATGTGGAACCGGGCCAGAAACTCGGGTCCCTATCGGCTCACCATGCTTATTGATAAGAACCACAGCATTATCATCAAACTTGATCTCACTCCCGTCACATCGGCCTCTTGGCATTGCAGCACGAACAACCACACCATAGTGGACTTCTCCTTTCTTCACTTTACCCCCAGCCTGAGCTTCCTTGACTGAGCAAACTATGGTGTCACCCAATCGCGCCCCTTTCTTTCCCTTCAGTGCCTGTATGCACATCACTTTTTTTGCACCCGAATTGTCAACTACTTTAAGCTTGGTCCTCATTTGTATAAAGGTCCTTTGTTGCTGAAAGAGGAGAAGAGAAACTAAAAGTTCGCCCACAGTTATCCAAAAGTGCAGAAAACTAGAGACATTATAAATTATAAACAAACAGTTTAATGCAATGGTTAATCACAGTTGTTTTTGTTTTTTCTTTTCATTTTATATGACGATATACTTGCTGTCAGACAGAGACTACATACATTGATGTACAATCATGGGTTTTGAAGATATTTTTCATATCATTTTGTCGTTATTTACTCAATTTGTTTCAACTTACTTCACAAATATTAAATTTTACCAAAATCTTGAGTTTGGTGAATGAGTGAATCCAAATCCAACAAGAACCAATCTGAATAACCTGAAGCTTTTATGATCAGTTTTTGAACCCTAACAATTTGCACCCAAAATTTTAATGGGTTCCACTTTAGGTCTTGGGTTAAACCCAAACCCAACACGCACACCCCTATTGATGTGCTCTAACTTTTGTTTGCTTCTGCCTATCAGGAAATCAAATCCAACTTATTAGGTGTTGCACATAAGTGCCACATATTCACAAGTTTTTAAGGTGTCCAGTGTCCTTGATGAAACATCAGTGGACAATTGGTTTACTTAAACTACAAATTAATATAGAGAGAATTCTCTAAATAGGACTAAAACTAGGTAGAATTGCAAAAATAGGACTACTATGTTTTATTGAACAAAAATAGGACTAAAAAGAGCTAATTGGACAAAACTACCCTTAATGAAATAAAACTTAAAATTCTCCTAGGTGTGCGTTTCCCAGACGGGTTTAGACGGGTTTTGGCATCGCTGAAACCAACACTTCAGGTCTAAAAAATTACTGCATTGCCATCCATTCAACATGTCCACCTCCGCCACAGCACTTTGACGAGGCCGCCGCCGCCAGACAAGTTCTGCATTGGCCATTGCAAAATCCCCAAGTTTCATATGTTTTGCAGATCCCCAATGAGAATGTCAAGAACAGTGACATGACGATGGAAGTTTCGTATAAAAAACATGACATTCTCAGTTATTAAAAATGTGAATTTTTTAGATGAAAAATAATGGCAATTTAAGGATGAAAATTCTAAATTTCTAACATCATTTGGAAAACATATAAAAAAACATGTCATTTCTAATAACAAGTAATTAAGTCATTCTCAGATAAGCCATAAAAATGACATAAAATGCCATAAGAATGCCATTTTCTTATGGACATATGTCATTTCTAGATTGTCATTCAGATAAAATATACTGCCACAAACATGACAGTTTTTTCAAATATAACCAATAATTTTGACATTCTCAAATTATAAAAGTGTCATTTTGCTGAATAGATATGATTAAAATCCCAAAATGACATTTTCTCAGGTTTGAAATTAATCAAAATTAACAAAATAATAAAAATCAAATTCAAATGCTTTTGTGTTTATTCGATGAAACCTAGCTTTTTTCTGATATTTTTAGATCCAAATTTCATTCAAAATTCGAAGTTCACAAAATAGAAGAGACAAAAGAAAACAGAGGAGCAGAAAGAGGGGAGGAAGAAGGAGAAGAAAGAGGGGGGAGAAGGAGAAGATGAGGGAAGTAGGTGGGAGTAGAAAGATTAGGAGGAGAAGGTTACCTGGGAAATTGCAGATGAAAAAAGGTGCAGCCGTGCGACTATGGAGATTCCGGCGTGAGCAGAAGGGTGCGGCCCTGGAGGTTCTTGCAGAGCAGAGGAGAGCGGAGGGGTGTCAATCGCAAGCTTACAGTTATGGAGCTTCTGGTGCGGCCCGATGAGCTATGTGTCTCTGGAGGGTTCTTGAATCGTAATGATGTGAAGGGTAAAATGGTAATCGGTGGTCCTATTTAGGGAATTTAAAACATGTAGTCCTAGTTTGGAATTTTAACCATGTTTTAGTCCTATTTAGATCAATTTCTTATTAATATATAGTGATTGTAATTCTTTGTTCTTTAAAATCCATTTACAGTATCGTGAAAGAGCTAGTACTCTGATCTTAAATTTCTAACAAGTATTTAGTAAAAGGTCAAATGTAAAAATAAAAATAAATAAAAAATCATATGACAGTCCAATAATATCAAATAAAAGGTGAAATGGTATCATGCCATTTGTAATTAATGGTTATCAACAGTAACAATGAACATGCAAAACCCCAAAAATCATATCACAGTACGGAAGACGAACCTGTGTGTACAAACCATTGGATATAATCTCATTTGATACTCGCATGAACCCAGCTGAGTTGTTCAAAAGGTCACCCAACAGTGAACAGCCTACTAAAGTAGGTATACCAAACATGCAATAATAAAACCATAAGTAATCAACGTGCAGATAACCAGTAAAAACTAAGAAGAGAAAGAAGCAACATGAGGAAATATGTTTGGATGCCTCTTTAGTTCGCAGAAACTACTTTGTAAATTTCATATTCATGTATTTGATGAACCATGATACTTGAATCAATGTGCAGCTAATTACGAACCATAAAGATGCACTAAAAACAGGTCTCGAAGTTTCAAAAGGATGAGCTTGGATAGAGAGGGATTAAGGTTTTCTTATACTCTTTTTTTATTATTTTTTTTTTTGGAGGGGGGGCTTTGGAGGGTGTAGTTTATATCTTGATCAATACTATAATTCTAAAACGAATATATGGTGATTCCAATTTTATCTCCCCAAAGGGATGCAAATACATGGTGATTCAAATTTTATATGATCACCTATTGAGTTATACCTTAAAAGTCTATACATATAATAATATAGATATACAAACACACATAAGGTCTGTGTCCGGTGAGAATGGTTATTTCTGAGATAATTATCCGAAACAATGCATAATCTAGTTGATAGGAACCAGACATACTAGTATAACAATTATGATAATAGAATTATAGTAAATAATTGTGATAGTAAAAAAATAAGGGTTTTGGGCCAAGTAAGTCATCAGTTGGGTCGGCCCTTTTGTTTTAGTATAAGAATGGGAGGGAGGGAAGGAGAAAAGGCAGGCAGAAATTTGGGATTGGGTTGGGAATTGGGAGAGTGAGGCCTCTCTAAGAGTCTCAGTTGTATTTTCAGTTTCTCTAAGAAATTTGGGATTGGGTTGGGAATTGGGAGAGTGAGGCCTCTCTAAGAGAGAAATATTGAAGATAATGGAAATGAATCAATCTTATTGATAGAGAGAAGGTTACAAGAGTATTTATAGACACTGGCAATAACCGAATACAGTTGTATGATAACAAGTCTAACAAACTAGTCTAACCGACTCTACCAGCTCCTTATACTAGTATATTCCTAACACAGAGCCATGGACCACCATGAATCAGAAAATGGATCACCAGTAAATCAGCCGCATACACTGACCACTGAGCTGATGCCGGTTGCACCATCAGTTCTGGAACCTGATAAGGACGATTATCTTATTCAACCGGGTAAGGATTGGTCTAACAGTGCTGATGATGCTCCTGCTGGAGTTCCTCAAGATCCTATTCCTGAAGTGAATTCTGTTGCTGCAAGAGCTATTGGCTCTATTATAACTGGAAGGGGGGAATGTTGTGATACTCTAAAATCTGAGGGCAGCAATGTTGTGAGGCCCTTACAGATTGACAAGTGATTGAAAGGGAAAGATGGGTTCCTTGTAACTGACCTTTGGGGAGCAGAAGTAGGTTGTACCTCAGAGTTTGCTGCCCCAACTGTTTGGATTAAGCAAACAGGAGAAAGAGCATATATTTATGCTTATCAGCCAAAGAGCCTAAAGAAGATCAAGGGTTTTTCATGATGAAGCAGAACATTATAGAACAAGCACCAGTTAAGGTAATCAAAGTTGATGAAAAACTAGAAGGCAGTTGGGGTGATGACAATGCATACCATGTGAGTGGATACTGCTATTTGCTGGTGGACTGTGATCGATGTATTTCTCACCTCCTGAAGAAGTATCAACTCTGACTCAGGAGTCAGGACTCCTTAATGGCACTGACAAAGCTCTGGGAAGAGGTTGATATTGAAAGAAACAGATCAAAGTGCGAGGGTCCAAGCAATAGAAAAGATGAGGAAATATGTCTGAAAGTTGAACAGAAAACAGCGAGGTACTGGGAAGGACGAGGTGCAATGATGAAGATGATGGTCAAAGTTATTTCCTATCACCCATCTTGAGGACAAGATGGTTGTCTAAGGGGGAGATATGATAGAAACCAGACATATTGGTGTAATAATTTTAATAATAGAATTATAGTAAATAATTGTGATAGTATAAGAATAAGGGTTTTGGGCCGAGTAAGTCATGAGTTGGGCCGGCCCTTTTGTTTTAGTATAAGAATGGGGGGAGGAGAAAAGGCAGGCAGAAATTTGGGATTGGGTTGGGAATTGGGGGAGTGAGGCCTCTCGAAGAGTCTCAGTTGTATTTTCCATTTTATTACTTCGTATCAATCTACGCTATTTTCCATTTCCAAATCTGGTTCCCGTCACTGGTTCATGGAGTTGCACATTTCTGGTTAAGACAATGCAAAGTTTCCGTGGGAGAAGAAGTTTGACCTATTAACAAAAATGCCACCTTGTTTTCTAATCCATTGCAAAACGTTTTTCTGTTTCAAATAATGTACAATTCTCAAATTTAAATGGACAAGATTCCTTATCATTTTTCACATTAGGTCGCATTCTCATTTGATTCCAACTCCAAAGCCCTCCATCCAAATACAATTTAAATACCGGCAAGAGCAAGGGATGAGAATCTGACAATTAAAAGTGGCATCTCTCTTACCACGGCGCAAATGAGAAGAAGATGACGCCATCACTAGAGACAAATTTACGGACGGACTTTCAGGACCCTTATTTTTTTACCTGTCAATAAATATGCATTTGTCAGTCCACTAATATAACATAAACCTGGGAGAGCAAAACTTGAAACAGAGGTATTTTAACTAGTGGAATTCAAGAGCCTACACATCCAGGATATAAACTACGTAGTATGTTTTAGAAAAATTCTAAGCTATATTTATATAGTTGTAGTCAATTGGCCTATTTTATAAATTAAACAAAATATATAAATGTTTTGCCCTTTACCCTTATATTGAAACATCTACACATTATAGGCATTAGATGTTTTGCCTTTTAACATCAACCATTTCTTTGCTACAATTCATCATTCCACTCATTTTATGCCTGTGTTTTTAAGTATTTCTAACAGTTCATCTTCACTGCACATGTACAGCTAAGTACTTATATTTTAATTTATAAACCCAACAAAGTCAGCAAATTCGAGAAGGCATTACAAAATGCAAGATGTAAAGCGAATCGGAAAATACTTCTCAGTTGGTGGAAGGCGGAATTTTTGTTGCCTTCATGACAAAAGCAAAGTAAGAATTAAAAATATAGCTTCAAATAAACTGTGTGAAACTACATAAAGATCAAAGATTACCTTGTCTGGTTTTCGGAGATATCCTTGGATGCGCTTGAACAAAGACCTATAGAGAGGATAAGTAGGTAAGAAGATCGTCGAGTGAAGAGGAGAATGGGAGGGAAGTAACAGGTTTTGATAATTGGGGAAAGTGTGTGTTTTGTGAAGGGGAATGCTGGAGGAAGAGTACACGGATGCGCGATGGATGCGATCGGAGGCCAGTCCTTCGAATGGGATTAGTAAACTGATTTGGTTTTTTGGTGCTCTAATTTACTTCCAGAATTAGTTTTTTTAGAAGCGGGGATACCAGATTCTGAAAACTGATTCTGATTTTACTTCTGCTTTAAAAAAGAAGCGGAAACAGAATTAGTTCCAAACACCCCATAGATCAGTGTGGTTTTTTAGGTTGAAGGGTCTGGAATTAGGTCGGTCTGAGTTGATTAGTAATTCGTACTTCCGTAGTGTCCGTACCAAGTATGTTCGGTTTTTCTAAAAAATTTGAAAAGTGGAGATAGAAAAATTAGAAAACATGTATACCTAACCATTGTGGCAGTACTTTCACTTTTGGTTACTTAATTAGAGTGTCACACTGATGTTAGAACCACAAGGTGTTTGGTTACTTAAAAGAGTTAATTATTTAAACAAGATCAAAAGATGTTTAAAAATCACAGATATAACTACCTTGTTTTCAGATCGCTAAATAGAACTAATCATGTGTGTTTAGATTAATATATCTCTGTAGCTTTTGGATTGCTCGGCCCAGTCATCATCGTCGACTGCCGTCCCGCAGGCCAACATCGTCGGCCTCCAGCCACCTATGCAGGCCAACGGCCATCGCCTAGCTGTCTTGGCTGTTGTCGCTGCCGGAATTCGGTCAAAATTTCCAGAACGCGTTTTCTATCAGTTTCATGTTGGGAGTCTCATCGGAGCTCCGCTGCCAGACTGTCCTGATTGCCCAATGGAACTAGGGAACAATTAATTAATTTATTTATTACATTAAGGGTATTTAGCGTAGAAAGTTAATTTTTTGCTCTATTTGTGAATGATTTATGTTTTAGTCATATTTGTACAATTAAGTTTTCGATTAGGGCTTTTGGAAGGCTTTTGTATTCTTTTGATATCTTGTAAATGCTCAACTTTTAGGGCCAATTTGGTTGGGAGATTTGGGGAGGGGTAGGGATCACATTTAAATTTTAAATAATTTTTAGATTTAGAAAAATTGAAATAAAGTGAAGACAAAATAGTATATAACAATACATGATCTAACTAATTATATAGTTATTTGTAGCCTAACAGTAACAAATTTAGATAAACCTATAAAATAAAAAATCAATCCTCCCTTTCCCTCTCCTCTGAAATCTCCCAACCAAACTCAACATTCAGCTCACCCAATTTGGAGGAAAAAAGTTATCTCATGTGGGAAAAAAGTCTTCTCACATTCACCACACTCTCAGGGTGTGTTTGAGAGTGTGGTGGGAAAAGGGTAAGGGGAAGGGAAGGAGAAGAAATTTTTTTCTTGTTTGGGAGTTGCAAATATGATTAGAGAGGGGTTAAAGAGGAATTACAATTAAAATAAATTTAAAATTATGGAGAATTTAAATAGTTACATATATATTTGTTCGTAATTAAATTAAATTTATCAATAAAATATTTATCTTTCAAAATCATCTAGTTGGGAGAACTTGAAAGTTGAAAATTTGAAGGGGTTTGAGGGGTCACAAGAACTCCCTCCAAAACAATTCATTCCAATTTTCTAAACTCACAAACGAGATAAGAGATGTCATAAACCCTCCTAACTCTCCCCACTCCAAAACACAACTCCCAATCATACCAATGTGAGTATGCTTGAGAGGTCTGAGGCTGTCCAGAAAACGTCATCTGAGCTCAGCTTCAAGCATAGCAAACTGAAGGTCTTACGTTAAGCATGATTCTCATTAGAAGTGTGCCCAATTTACACACAGAGAGAAGAATTATCATTTCAGGCCGGTCTGACAGAATCCGCCGTGTGGCTACCTCCATTTACCTAAGTGAAATTTTTTGATGGCATTTCGTGAGCATGTTTTTCATAAAGTCTAAATTATGTTTACAAAGTTTCAACTTAAAACCCTGTAGATCCCTATTTCTAACAATCATAAAATCATAGAACAGTGAAAGAAGCAGATAGATTGAACGGAAATCTGGTACATCGTATAATGGCCGCTGCTCTCCCTCTAGAGAGAGAGAGAGCAGCTGGAAACTATTCTCTCTATTCAGCCTCTATACTCTAATGCCTTGTCATTTTTTTTCCTCATAAGTTAGCTTCCTTTTATAGGAGAAGGAGGCTAACTTATGGCTTACAAAAGGCCTAATGGGCTGATATGGCTCTTGTGGCCCATTTACACATTTAACTAACAACTACACAAATACAAAGACATCTAACTAGATTGGACACCAGAAAAAGTCCTAACAAACCCAACCTGGAAGTCAGTTATGTGTGTGTGTAGTAGGGATCATATGATAATATGATCTAAGGAGAGAAATACACGCTCTTGAAAAATATGCTCACAAAATTTCGTAACAAAATTCCACCTGGAAGCCTCTCAAATAGAGGCGGCCGCACGGCATTCACTATCTCACACATATCATAGACAACAACCATATTAAGAACATAAATAATGTAAAATCAATTATAAATAACAAAATATTCGTTGAACAAAAATATAATGATATCGTACTTAAATACATATGATGATCTGTAATACCTAGATCTAGAGAAAGGATCGAGAGAATGAAAAAACTAGATAGATAAAGTTTGTAGTAGGAATGAATTAGGTCTTAGAGTTCTTCTTACAAGACAAAGGATGTAAATATGAGGGTCACATGGGCTTACGAAATGCTCTGGGCCGATCTAAGGAATGCGGGCTAAGTCAAATATAACAGACATCAAATATAAACAAGACATTTGCGCGTACAAAATGTCATTGGGCCGATACACAAAACGGGCTAGGTCTAATACAAGAAATACATCATTTCGGGTACCCCGGTCCACGATAATATATATCCATCAACATCTTAATCACATAATTTCTATGTTTTATTCAAAATTATGTTAATAATAAGAATCAAACATGGAATGAATCAAACATGTATTTAGAATTAACTTAAGTTGTCATGCACAAATATGTTTAAAAATCAATCTAGATTAAGTGTAAAAATGTATGTGTTAAACTTCACACATTCTATGCGGAAAATTAAATTTGAATATTTTGAAGCAGTTCAAACAAGCTAAAATTTGAATACAATTACCTAAAGTCACTTTATATTTGTTTGGAGTTTTTTTTTTGGAAAGATGTTTATATTGATATCACAACATTCATATATGGGTAAAAGGACAAGAAGACCGATGGCAACCGCCGACTCTCGAAACAGACTCAAAGTTAATCACCTCCAAAAGAAACAATATAACTCGTTGATCCATTATTGGGCGCAACTGAGCCAAACACAGTTAAAGCAGACCTCTCGTCACCCAAATCCAAACTCACAATCTTACAACACAAGAAAAAACAAAACTGAAAGTAAATCGAGTACTCGAAAGCATGAATAAACAACAAAGCAAAAAAATAAAAAACCCGCTTCGTCTTCCGGAGCACCACCACCAATTGCGTACTCAAGCCTACTAACTGGTTCTGATGCTTCGACGGGCTTAAATGTCGCAACCCGCCTCCTCCCCGTTTTTGGGCTTGTCTAAACCCATGTTATCCCTGCCTGGCTCTTCATGTTCTTGTGCATCCCATATCCTCTTGCGCTTTTGTTCCCCTAACACTTCCTCGGTACTTTCAAACTCCCCTCTTTAGTCGTGTTGTCGCCCGTACCTATCGTGGACTCCCTCCAACCTTGCCCTCCTATTCCACCTCCTGTCTTGGTATCCTCCTTGTGTGAAAAACTCAGAGCTGCACTAGAAGACCCTTCCACAAGCTACTTGTTCCTTCCTGTAGAACTAGTCTTCCCCCCTCCGCCAGCTCTCAGATTTACCCTGTAAGTTTTTTCCAATACCAGGTTATCCTCATATTTCAATTGGCAGAACTTATCAAAATAGCCTATAATTCCACAAATGAAACAAAAATTGGGCGGTTTTTTTTCTGATTTCCCTCGTCGCCGCATATCACGAACATCAAGCCAGACGGACTTGTCACCCTTGAAACTGCAACATATAACTGTTCATGTGTAAAAACAGGACGTCGTAGAAAAACACCCACATTTTCTAAAGATTGTCCTTGACTCTTGTTCATCGTCATCGCATAGTTAACCATCAAGGGGAATTGCCTACGCATAAATGTGAAAGGGAGCCTCACATCTGATGGGGTTAGACTAATCCTGGGAATCAGAAACTTCTCACCTGCATTAGTTCCAGACATCATATATGCCTCAATAATATGTTCACTAAGTTTTGTCACTAAAAGTCGGGTACCATTACATAAGTCGACCGAGTGATCTATATTCCTCATGAGCATCATTGGTACACCAACTTTTAGCTTCAACTTGTGACTTGGAACACCAAAACATTTCATTCCGTTAAAGAACTCGGGAGAATGGATTTCTTGAAGGAGCTCATTGTCTGAGGTAGAGGAACACGCTGAATCAGAACTGAAATAGGTCTTTTCCTCTGAGCTGTTATGTAGCAACATGAAATCATTGATCCTGTCTACCTCATCAATTGTCGGTGCAAGAATCGCTCTCCCTTCAAGATATGAGATGTTGTTCATGTTCTTAAAAAAAACTAGATAAGTAGTGTTGACAATTAATTCAATGAGATCAGACATTACTGGAACATGAAAGTTTTTTGGTATATCAATTTCTGCTTCGCCATCATCGCTCCCTCCCAGAACACCATCACCGATTTGCAGTATCCAATCGGCAAAAAGCTTCAAAATACTCGGATTGGCCAATTCATTTGTGAAGTTCTTGAGTCTCATGTTTTTTGTTAACTTCAACACCGTACAATACTGCCACAAATGTGATGCATTCAAAGATGCATGAACAATATCATGTTTTGTTCCCTTAGGAATGACATGCAACACTTGTCTAAAGTCTCCACAAAAAACAACTGTTTTTCCCACCAAATGGTAATTTTGGATTTCCATCATGACATCAAGAAAGTATATCTCTCATACTTCTATCTAAAGCTTCAAAGCAATGCCCGTTGAAATTTATATAAAAAAGGTAACGATAATACATTAGATTTATAGTATTAAGACCCATTTAAACG